ACTGTTGCCGCTATATAAATCCTGTATAATAATAATAATAACATCAGACACCAGACTCCGGGCCTGGGAGTCTCACTGCCTCAGGAGACAGGCCCAAGGTAGATGGAGTAGAGTGGAGACCAGACTTTCCAACTTCCTGGAACTCCAGGAGGCATATCAAGCCCTGCTCCATTTCGAAGACTTGATCCGGGGAGCCTGAATCAAGCTAATGATGAACAATCAAACAGCAGTTGCCTATATCACCCGACAGGGAGGAACCAAGAACCTGACACTACTCCAATTGGCAACCAAATTTTTGTCTGGGCCGAATACCATGGTGAGGCTCTAACAGCGGCCTACATTCCAGACAAACAGAACCAAATAACAGATCAGGGACGGAGGGAGGAGGAAGCAGGGATTGGTCAATCAGCAGACACTATCTGGAACCCATCTTCATCAGATGGGGGGTACCCTCCATATACCTAATGGCAACTCCAGACAATGCACTGGTGCCAGAATTTGTGACAAGATACAAATACTGCGAGGCGATAGCTCAGGATTCCTTCTTGATCCTGTGGCACTTTCTCATAGTGTACCTGTTTCCTTCGATCCCACTTATCATGAAGGTTTTGTTGAAGATTGCGAAGGAGAGAGTTCATAACATCTTAATAGCACCTTTTTGTCCTCGGAGGTCATGGTTTCCCCTTGCTCCTGCAGATGGCATCAGCCCCACTAATAGCCTGGCTCTTGAATCAGCAAGGTTGAAATCACAGGGTCTCTCAACCAAAGTGATCATTACACTACTAAAAGAAAGAAAAACAACAAATGCTACCTTGAGGTTTGGAGGAAATTAAAAATGTTTTCACTACTGGCTCCAAATATTGCAAATGTGTTAGACTTTCTGCAATCAGCACAGAACATAGGTCTAGCCTATAGCTCCATCAATGTGCAAGTGTCAGCACTATCCTCCTTCACCTGGCACAGATGGGCAGATGAGCCTTTGATAAAACAGTTCTTCAGGCCAACAATAAGAATAAGACCTACTAAGGAGAACTTCTTCCCACCCTGGAATTTGGGCACAGTGCTAATAGCGCTCCTACAAACACCATTTGGCCCCACTGAATCATGCTCGCTGTGGTTCCTGATGATTAAATTGGTCTTCCTTACAGCTATTACAACAGGAAAAAGGGTTTCAAAACTTGCAGCCCTATCTTGCAAATACCCCTTTTGCATAATTCTTCCAGATGGGTTGATTCTAAGCCCTAGCTGGCCTTAGCCTCCAAGGTGATCTCCAGATTTCATATGAATAGAGAAGTGGTGCTGCCATGTTTTACACAACCTCCAGGACAGACAGACCAATTAGACCTGAGACCATTAGACATGGTCAGCCTGGTATCTTCACCGCTCCTGACAAATACATAAGGTAAATAGCATGTTCATTCTACCATTTGGACCTAAGAAAGGAGAAGCTGTGTCAGCAAGAGTCATAGCTACCTGGATCACCAAAGGGATCAGACTCACATACAAACAGCAGGGCCTTGCTCCTCCACTTACTATACAAGCTCATTCAACCAGAGGGGTGGCAGCCTCAATGGCATTGGTTGAGAAATTGTCTGTGGAAGACATATACAGGATGGCTAGCTGGAGTTCTTGCAAGACCTTCGTCTGGCACTATAAGTTGGATGTAGTCTCCATCAGTTCATCGAGATTTGGGGCAGCGGTGGTATCAGCACCTTTCCAAACTAATTAAAAGTTCATGAAGCACCAATTTGAGTTGCATGATGTTCTTTGTTCTTTCCCACCCTAAATTAGTTAGGGTATATCCCAAAGTGTGCTAACGGGAGGGCAGCCAGGAAAACAGAAAATAGTTATCAATACTTACCTTAATTTTCCTTTCCTGACCTGTCCTCACATCAGCACAACTTTCTCCCTCCCTAAGTGGCCTGTCGCCGCTAGATTATAGAACAAGAGAGTAAGTGAGGCCTCTTTTTTATAAGCTAGGCAAAGGTAGTCCTGGGGATAGGGTCAAGAGGAGGAGTTAACCCAAAGTGTGCTGACGTGAGGACAGCCAAGGAAAGGAAAATTGCGGTAAGTATTGATAACAATTTTCCGTTACATACTCCTGGAGTAAAAAAACTAATATCATGTTTTTATTTATGGTGTTAAGGTTTGAACAAGGTGTTAGGTTTGAACAAACATACACAGACACAGATTTAGCTGTTATATAATGTCTTTACTCTTTATAAGTAAAACTAGGTTTTGTTACAACTAGAGATGAGCGAAGTATTCAAAAATTCGATTCGACTGATTCGGCGAATTCGTGGAAAAATTTCGATTCGAGTCGAATATATTCGCTGCGAATTTAACTTATAAAAGGGTGTTTCTAGGCTTCAGAGAGCCTTTATATTAGTGCAGAACACTGTACCTTTAATTTAAATGCCCTTGGAGTCTGCTGGGGAAGAGAAATAATACTGACAGTCAGTATGACATGCAGATGAGTGCCGTCGATCTTAGAATCACCGCACACTTCACTCATTTGGGCAGTCACGGGGCCAAAACCAGAGTGTGGAGCCACAGTGTGGCGGTGGAGGCAGCAGCTATGGGAGGCCATACAGCACCCTATGACAAAAATGGAAACCACCAGCAGTGTGAGGAGACCTGAAAGTGGCACATGGCAGAGTGTGGCGATGGAGACAGCAGCAATGGGAGGCCGTACAGGGACCCATGACACACTCTGGACCTGGCAGCAGCATGAGGAGGCGGTACAGGGGCCCATGACAGATTACGGGCCTGGCAGCAGCATGAGGAGTCGGTACAGGGGCCCATGACACACTCTGGACCTGGCAGCAGCATGAGGAGGCGGTACAGGGGCGCATGACAGATTACGAGCCTGGCAGCAGCAACTTGGACAGGAGGACGTTCAGCTTCTGCACCGTCGGGTGCGTGCTCGCAAACTGTTGTCTCTTGGAAACGGATTCCAAGAAAGACTGCTGACGGAATCCGTGAAGAGGAGTAGCAGGAGAAGGAGCATCTGAACGAGCGGAATATGCCAACAAGCGACAACAGGGGCCCATGACAGATTACGGGCCTTGCAGCAGCATGAGGAGTCGGTACGGGGGCCCATGGCAGATTAGGGGCCTGGCAGCAGCTATGGGAGGCCCGTAATCTGCCAGCACCCTATGACAAAAAATGGAACACACCAGCAGTGTGAGGAGACCTGAAAGTGGCACATGGCAGAGTGTGGCGATGGAGACAGCAGCAATGGGAGGCCGTACAGGGACCCATGAGAGACTCTGGACCTGGCAGCAGCATGAGGAGGCGGTATAGGGGCCCATGGCAGATTAGGGGTCTGGCAGCAGCTATGGGAGGCCCATAATCTGCCAGCACCCTATGACAAAAAATGGAACACACCAGCAGTGTGAGGAGACCTGAAAGTGGCACATGGCAGAGTGTGGCGATGGAGACAGCAGCAATGGGAGGCCGTACAGGGACCCATGAGAGACTCTGGACTTGGCAGCAGCATGAGGAGGCGGTATAGGGGCCCATGGCAGATTAGGGGCCTGGCAGTAGCTATGGGAGGCCCGTAATCTGCCAGCACCCTATGACAAAAAATGGAACACACCAGCAGTGTGAGGAGACCTGAAAGTGGCACATGTTTGGGGCATGATTCATGGCGGATTTAGTCAGTTGTGTCAGGAACTGGTGGTTTGAAATCCAGACTAATCCACACCTGATTCATTTTCACAAACGTGAGTCTCTCCACACTTTGGGTGGACAGTCGTGTCCTCCGCGGAGTTACAATACCTCCTGCCGCACTAAACACGCGCTCCGCTCCGATGCCACGCTACTGGCCGGGCATGACAGCCTTTCAAGGGCAAATTCAGCTAGTTGGGGCCAAAGGTCAAGTTTCGTTGCCCAGTAGTCAAGGGGATTGTCTACCTCGGTTGACAGGGTGCTGTCCAAGTAGGCCTAAGCCTGTTGTTTGAGGTCCTGCTCCAGGTCCACCTGATGCTGCTGCTGCTGCTGCTGCGGCTGGTTAGTAGTTTCCTCACTGCACTGGTGAAGAAAGCTACTCATCATCGACTGCAGACTGAGGCAGCTGCTGCTGGTGGAGCTGCCACTGCTCCTACCACCCCACCCCTCCCCTGCTGCCATGGCAGCGGAACGCGAGCGCACAGGGCCCACAGTGTCTGAGGATGGACGTTGGCGCAGAAAGGCAGAGACCAGCTGACTACATAGGTGGTTTTTATAGTACGTTATTTTGGCCTCCCTCTCAGCAGGTGTGAAAAAGGCCACCATTTTTGAACGGTAGCGAGGGTCCAACAAGGTGGACAGCCAAAAGTCATCCCTCTGTCTGATGGTTATTATTCGGCTGTCGCTACGCAAGCAAGCGAGCATGCTATGGGCCATTTGTGCCAAGGAATGCGAGGGACTCCCTGCCTCCATCTCCACAGCATACTGCCACGGTGCGTCTGGGTCCTCTGTCTCCTCCTCCTCCTCCTCTACCAGATGCTCCTGCTCCTCCACTCCTGTCCGCTGAGTGGAAAAACCACCCATTTCACTCAATAATTCCTGAGCACCAATGTCCTCCTCTACCTCCTCCTCTTCTTCCTGTCCTGCCCCCACAGGGGTCATGTGGCGTTGAGATCTGTGCGCCACGTCTACCGCACCCTGACCAGCCATTGTTAACAGCATTTGTTCCAGGACGTGCAACAGAGGAATGACGTCGTTCATCCCATAGTCCTGCCGACTCACGAATAGTGTGGCCTCCTCAAAGGGCCTGAGCAAGCGCAGGTGTCACGCATGAGCTGCCAATGGCTGACATCTAAGTTACACAGGGAGTACCTTTATCCGCTTTTAACATCAGGAAATCTGTGATGGCCTTTCGCTGTTCGTAAAGGCGGTCTAACATATGTAGGGTTGAATTCCACCTTGTTGCAACGTCACAGCATGAGGAGTCGGTACGGGGGCCCATGGCAGATTACGGGCCTGGCAGCAGCAATGGGAGGCCCGTAATCTGCCAGCACCCTATGACAAAAAATTTAACACACCAGCAGTGTGAGGAGATCTGAAAGTGGCACATGGCAGAGTGTGGCGATGGAGACAGCAGCAATGGGAGGCCGTACAGGGACCCATGAGAGACTCTGGACCTGGCAGGCAGCAGCATGAGGAGGCGGTACAGGGGCCCATGGCAGATTAGGGGCCTGGCAGCAGCTATGGGAGGCCCGTAATCTGCCAGCACCCTATGTCAAAAAATGGAACACACCAGCAGTGTGAGGAGACCTGAAAGTGGCACATGGCAGAGTGTGGCGATGGAGACAGCAGCAATGGGAGGCCGTACAGGGACCCATGAGAGACTCTGGACTTGGCAGCAGCATGAGGAGGCGGTATAGGGGCCCATGGCAGATTAGGGGCCTGGCAGCAGCTATAGGAGGCCCGTAATCTGCCAGCACCCTATGACAAAAAATGGAAAACACCAGCAGTGTGAGGAGACCTGAAAGTGGCACATGGCATGAGACACTGTGGACCTGGCAGCAGCATGAGGAGGCGGTACAGGGGCCCATGGCAGATTTGGGGCCTGGCAGCAGCTATGGGAGGCCCGTAATCTGCCAGCACCCTATGTCAAAAAATGGAACACACCAGCAGTGTGAGGAGACCTGAAAGTGGCACATGGCAGAGTGTGGCGATGGAGACACAGCAGCAATGGGAGGCCGTACAGGGACCCATGAGAGACTCTGGACCTGGCAGCAGCATGAGGAGGCGGTACAGGGGGGCCCATGGCAGATTAGGGGCCTGGCAGCAGCTATGGGAGGTCCGTAATCTGCCAGCACCCTATGTCAAAAAATGGAACACACCAGCAGTGTGAGGAGACCTGAAAGTGGCACATGGCAGAGTGTGGCGATAGAGACAGCAGCAATGGGAGGCCGTACAGGGACCCATGAGACACTCTGGACCTGGCAGCAGCATGAGGAGGCGGTATAGGGGCCCGTGGCAGATTAGGGGCCTGGCAGCAGCTATAGGAGGCCCGTAATCTGCCAGCACCCTATGACAAAAAAATGGAACACACACCAGCAGTGTGAGGAGACCTGAAAGTGGCACATGGCATGAGACACTGTGGACCTGGCAGCAGCATGAGGAGGCGGTACAGGGGCCCATGGCAGATTAGGGGCCTGGCAGCAGCAGGGGGGCCCGTAATCTGCCAGCACCCTATGACAAAAAATGGAACACACCAGCAGTGTGAGGAGACCTGAAAGTGGCACATGGCAGAGTGTGGCGATGGAGACAGCAACAATGGGAGGCCGTACAGGGACCCATGAGAGACTCTGGACCTGGCAGCAGCATGAGGAGGCGGTATAGGGGCCCATGGCAGATTAGGGGCCTGGCAGCAGCTATAGGAGGCCCGTAATCTGCCAGCACCCTATGACAAAAAATAGAACACACCAGCAGTGTGAGGAGACCTGAAAGTGGCACATGGCAGAGTGTGGCGATGGAGACAGCAGCAATGGGAGGCCGTACAGGGACCCATGAGACACTCTGGACCTGGCAGCAGCATGAGGAGGCGGTATAGGGGCCCATGGCAGATTAGGGGCCTGGCAGCAGCTATAGGAGGCCCGTAATCTGCCAGCACCCTATGACAAAAAATGGAACACCACCAGCAGTGTGACGAGACCTGAAAGTGGCACATGGCATGAGACACTGTGGACCTGGCAGCAGCATGAGGAGGCGGTACAGGGGCCCATGGCAGATTAGGGGCCTGGCAGCAGCTATGGGAGGCCCGTAATCTGCCAGCACCCTATGACAAAAAATGGAACACACCAGCAGTGTGAGGAGACCTGAAAGTGGCACATGGCAGAGTGTGGCAATGGAGACAGCAGCAATGGGAGGCCGTACAGGGACCCATGAGAGACTCTGGACCTGGCAGCAGCATGAGGAGGCGGTACAGGGGCCCATGGCAGATTAGGGGCCTGGCAGCAGCTATGGGAGGCCCGTAATCTGCCAGCACCCTATGACAAAAAATGGAACACACCAGCAGTGTGAGGAGACCTGAAAGTGGCACATGTTTGGGGCATGATTCATGGCGGATTTAGTCAGTTGTGTCAGGAACTGGTGGTTTGAAATCCAGACTAATCCACGCCTGATTCATTTTCACAAACGTGAGTCTCTCCACACTTTGGGTGGACAGTCGTGTCCTCCGCGGAGTTACAATACCTCGTGCCGCACTAAACACGCGCTCCGATGCCACGCTACTGGCCGGGCATGACAGCCTTTCAAGGGCAAATTCAGCTAGTTGGGGCCAAAGGTCAAGTTTCGTTGCCCAGTAGTCAAGGGGATTGTCTACCTCGGTTGGCAGGGTGCTGTCCAAGTAGGCCCAAGCCTGTTGTTTGAGGTCCTGCTCCAGGTCCACCTGATGCTGCTGCTGCTGCTGCGGCTGGTTAGTAGTTTCCTCACTGCGCTGGTGAAGAAAGCTACTCATCATCGACTGCAGACTGAGGCAGCCGCTGCTGGTGGAGCTGCCACTGCTCCTACCACCCCACCCCTCCCCTTTGCTGCCATGGCAGCGGAACGCGAGCGCACAGGGCCCACAGTGTCTGAGGATGGACGTTGGCGCAGAAAGGCAGAGACCAGCTGACTACATAGGTGGTTTTTATAGTACGTTATTTTGGCCTCCCTCTCAGCAGGTGTGAAAAAGGCCACCATTTTTGAACGGTAGCGAGGGTCCAACAAGGTGGACAGCCAAAAGTCATCCCTCTGTCTGATGGTTATTATTCGGCTGTCGCTACGCAAGCAAGCGAGCATGCTATGGGCCATTTGTGCCAAGGAATGCGAGGGACTCCCTGCCTCCATCTCCACAGCATACTGCCACGGTGCATCTGGGTCCTCTGTCTCCTCCTCCTCCTCCTCTCTACCAGATGCTCCTGCTCCTCCACTCCTGTCCGCTGAGTGGAAAAACCACCCATTTCACTCAATAATTCCTGAGCACAAATGTCCTCCTCTACCTCCTCCTCTTCTTCCTGTCCTGCCCCCACAGGGGTCATGTGGCGTTGAGATCTGTGCGCCACGTCTACCGCACCCTGACCAGCCATTGTTAACAGCATTTGTTCCAGGATGTGCAACAGAGGAATGACGTCGTTCATCCCATAGTCCTGCCGACTCACGAATAGCGTGGCCTCCTCAAAGGGCCTGAGCAAGCGGTAGGTGTCACGCATGAGCTGCCAATGGCTGACATCGAAGTTACACAGGGGAGTACCTTTATCCGCTTTTAACATCATGAAATCGGTGATGGCCTTTCGCTGTT